AAAGCAGGCTTTGTAGTGTTCTTTATTTCAGCTGTCTATTTGTCTGTTTCTCCCACTATGGCTCAACAAATTTTAGTTGAATCAGCAATAGAATCAGGATTCCACTTCACAGTTTGTTAATATGTTCCTTACTTTAAAGAAGATCAGAAGCAGCAAATTAGAAAAGGGAGAATTGCTGCATGTGGCAGCTGACAAAAATCAAACAATAAATAACAATTCTAGTAATCTATTAATGCTCCAGGGATCATTCTGTGCATTTTGGGTTATGTATTATATCTGAAGGTAATCATTCAAATTATATTCTGCTTCAGAAGCAGGGAGAGGTATAATACTCTTTAAACACTTGCCACATAATAATAATAATGTGTCTATGAGAGATGCAGGACACTGGGGGTGAGGTAAAAAATGATCCAAACAAAGATCCTATCTCCAAAAAATATTATGGTCTAATAGTGAAGATGGCACAATGGCCAAAGGGGAAATGCCGTGAAGAGATGCAGATCAAGTTATTGGGAATACACAGCAGAGAAGTTGCTATTTTTAGCTAACAGGATCAAGTGACTTTCTTTAGGAAAGAGCACAGGGACTAGGTTTTAAGAGACTCTGAGCTGCAGAGCTGGTGTGAGAGCAACATTTGGGAAAGACGTGAAGGAGGAGTGTGGAGCAGCACTGTCCAGCAGAACTCTCTGCAGTGATGGAAACGTCTTATAATTGGCCCTGCTCAATACAGCAGCCACTAACCACGTGTGGCCACGGAGTAGCTGAACCGTGGCTCACGTGACCTAGGAGCTGAATTTTTAAAAACTTTATTTCATTTTAATTATTCTAAATTTAAATTTAAACAGCCATATGTGGCTAATGAACAGTGCAGGTAGAGTATGTATGAAATAATTTCCACCACTTAAAAAAGTTTTGGTGCTTTGATAAAGGTATTTACTTAATCTATTTTCCCCAGGTCAGATTACTCAGAATGTCTCTGACAAATGTGCATTTTTTTCATAAACAGATCTACCATAGCCACGTCCCAGTACACCACATTACTCTACTCCACTCTCTACTACGTAATCTGCCACAAAATTTCAGAGACTTTACTCAACTCTTATTAACCAGCCTGTGACAGAGTTGGGAATGCAGTCCCCTCAAATCTGTAACCCCCCACACACACTCATGATTGAGCCACACAATGAAAGGAGCCCAGATCCCCAAGTCACACTCGGAGGACAGCTGACCAGGATGGCTGTCTAATCCACCCTGGACTATGTTTTGAGCAAGAAATGCACTTTGATTGGTTAAAACACTGAGTTTGGGCATTGTTGGTTAGAGCAGTTAGTCAAAGTAATTAATACTCAGCCCAGTTTTCCTTCTGCAGTATGTCATTTTCACCGTGAGAGAGCTCTGTATACTGAACACTGACTTTTCTTTTTCAAATCCATTGGCTACCATTTTGTCTTTGATGAACACAGGCTATACCTAGCTGGTAGCAATGGTATTATGATTCATGATCTCAATAACAACTCATGTTAAACCACTTATCTGAATTAAATCATCTCAATTTAATTGATTTTCTCTCAAAATGTGTTAATTATTAATTCTTAAGCTGGCAAGTCAGTGATCTGTAATATCCTTCTTCAGTTGTAGAAACAGAAATTGAATTTAATCTGTTGAACATTAATAGAAAATGATCTGTTTTGTGAATAAGTCAAAAGGTGAGATTCCCTATTGTTGGTTTGACAAAAGAGACTAGTCTAAGGAAAATTCCCTATTTTGAATTTGATCAGAATTCATGACATTTGTTGCTATTCTCATCAGGGCAGAAAATAATCAAATTCTTCAACTACACACATGGGTTGGTATTTATCAGAAGTTTCTAGAAGCATTGAGAAAGCTGTGAGGTGATATTGCTTTATTATCCACACAGTCCTCTGGTACTGAGGACAACCATGCACAGGCGGCCGGCACCTGGAGCATTTTCCTCTCAAATTTTCTTGTTAAGGTGTCACAGAAACTTTTGAAACCTCTGACTATTTGGTTACAAAGTCTGCTTTTACCCTGAATAATAATTTCAGCTAACTAGCACTGTCAACACTAACAGGAGTTCTCAAACATCCCAGGATAAGGAAGAACGGAGCAAGTGCTTGAGAGGCAGAGTGGCCGCCAGCCCCTCACAGTGGACGAACGTCTGAACCCCCAGAGCCTAAGCTGCGCTGTGGGAGCAGGACCAGAGGGACCAGAACTATCCTTCCTGCAGACCTGGAAACATGATTCAGACTTTCAAAAAACCCCCAGAGGTTCTTCTTTTAAGCAAACAAACAAATACGAAAACCAACTTTGCCAAAAATGAGTAGAAAACCAAACACTGTTCATGTGAAATATAATAAATATTTTAAATTAGTGTCCCTTAACCCATGAGGCATAGACCATTAGACATTACTAATAGTCAGTCATAGATTTGTCTCTTTTGACAAAACAGCAGAGGATCTAATTAGACCCCAGGGCGTTTTAGTGTTTGAACAACGGCTGCCATATCAATCAACTTTCAAGGATTAATAAAACTGAGGTTTGGCCCAAGACCTAAAAGCAGGCAAGGCTCAGCAGCAGCTCGTCCCAATGTCATATTCTCCAAGGCTAATAGCTGACCGTTGGTGTTCATGTGCAGGCAGTGACTGTGACACACTGAATTCCAGGCTTTCAAGCCTCCATAGGAACCGAGCAATTTTCATATTACTCCAAACAAAAAAGCAGCTTTCTGCAAAATTTCTCCTCCTATTTTTTCCGTTCTAATTCAACCCAGATCTAATGCTCTTTCAACGTCACTACCTTTGAGGCAACAGATCACCCTTGATATCTCTCTGTTTTTACCCTCAGCCCTATCTCTAGCAGAAAAAGAGTAGAGATACAGTCTGTTGAGATATAAAGCAAAACCCAGTTCACTGCAACTGCAGTGAGACAGATGGATTTTATCATCCAATCATATCTGTGAAATGTTTTAAATATGAAAGTTCTCTCCCCTTATCTCTTTATACTTATGAATTTACATGACAGTAATATACAGAATACTTCTCTTTTGTCGATATACAGGATTTTAAAAATTAAATTTTCAATAGAAGGAAAACATAACAAAGGGTTAAAAAATAATAAGAAGGATGACAAACTGGCATTAAACCAAGCATCTCATAAAAACACTATGAAATATGTATTGTTTGCCCTCATTGTACAAATGAGGAAATGAAGGCTCAGAGCAGTGAATTTGTGCAGGGTCACAAAGCTGGAAAATACTGTGCCTGGGATTTGATTCCAAGTATACCTCACTTGGGAGTCCAAGCTCTCACTCTTTTGACATTATACCATTGCACATGTGTAAAGTGAAAGCATGGTCACGATTGTCAGGGAAAGAATCTGCACATTACGCAATCATCTTGACTTGACTTTGCTGTTCCTGTTGATAATTCTCCTACCCTCTTATATTTTTAATCTTTTCTTTCTATGCTCCTTTATCATACTCTGCTGTTACAACATCTTTTTATTTCTCCTATTCCATTTTCCTCTACTTTTCCAGTTTTTCAAGTAGCACAAAAATTGTTTTAAATGTATGGCATTAATATGAGCTTCACACTTGAACTTGACTTAAATGATGCATAGATAATCTTTTTAAGTTAACAATTTAAAAAATTGGAGTTCCCCTCAGTACGTCTCCAGAACATGTCCTAAAAACTCCACTGGCACTGATTCTGTAAGAACCTACACCAAGGCTTGCTGTGCACAAGTAGAGGCCACCCCATTGTTTGGTTCCCGGCAACAGCTATTTATACTTCATTGTGTGTCGTTTGTTTCAATCTAGATGTTTTTTCTACTCATACTCAAAACTAGTTCAACTCTAGCAAGTCCAACGATTGTTTCTTATTATCTTTTAAATCTGTAACAATCTATCATCACATTCTCATATTCTAAATGTCTGACAGAAATATCCTTTTGGAAGAAGCTCAAGCTGCTCCTTAGGCAGATAACTCTACATTTACTCTCTGGGTCTCTGTAAGATCAGTGAGAGCGAGTGGAGAGGTAAGGGGGCGGCTGATGGCAGGAGCTGAAAACAGATAAAATGAAAAGGGGTTATGGGGGGGGGGGGATCCTCCCAAAGAATGCTAGAAAATCAATTTTCAAATTAAACAAGTATTGAAGGGGGTGACCTTCATATCTCAAATTTAGGAAAAACATATTCTCTGAAGATCCTGAATTTCTTAAATCATGGCCCTTGATCTCCAGCTGCTATAGTAAAGCACCCACGCTGGTCCTGCCACACTTCACTATGCCAGGACAGAGGAGAGCAATGCCCAAACCTTTGGCCATTTTCTTAAATCAATCAGTGACGGACCTGTGCAGTGGCCACTAACAATAACTGACAGTATTCTTAAGCTTATTCTTTGCTTTGTTAAAAAAAATCACAAAACTATGCAGTGTGCTTTTAAAAACTGTAAAACAAAATAAAATGATGCAGTGTGTATTATAACCAATTAAACCAATCATTTAAAGACTAAGAAAGAGCCAGCTACCTTCCTGGTTTTAAACAATACAAACCATAAACATTAACTGGAGAAAATTAATTTTCCTGGAATTATGTTCATAGACCTAAAAGAAACAGTGTTTTGAATAATATTGAAAAGGAAATGGCCTCTCCTAAGGTGGGAGGGGGGCAAAAAAACTGGAGAACATGAGAAAATCTACAAAACGAACCTAGAAGGATTTTCCTGAAATGAAGACTGGCTTTGCAAGTCCCTTTCCTGTATTAATTATTGCAAAATGCCTAGCAGTCTATCAGTTAATGAATCGTTAGAAAGAGCTACCAAGAACAGCACTGAGCTTTCATTTCAGAGAACTTAGAACGTGTAAGGACGTGAGTGAACAGAGAGAGCAGACACACGGCATGGTAAGCAGACAGACACGCTCAGCCTGGCTGACGGCAATATGAATTTGGCAGTTTTGCCCCTGTCCACAGACAAACTGACCTTCCTTGAGACTTTTCTGGTTGCTCCCCTCAAGGCATTCCTTTTCTTTTAAAGGTTCCAAATCCCCAGCAGTTAAAATCTCTGGGAAGCCCTGTTGCTGCTTCTTGGAGCTATCGATCATGGTGAGAGGCTTCTGGAGACAGGCAGCATCAAGCAGGAGAAAAGCTCAAATAGCCGAACAGCAGAGGCCGGCGCGCTCAGAACGCTCTGGTCCCTGGGTCCTGGGCGCCTCCTCACAATACCCCAATCACTGGGCAATCACGTCTTTAAGCAGCTGAAGGCAGCCATTACCCTTTAGTTCCCAGCTTGACCTGCAATACACTCATGCTGCAGGAAGCCCTAAACTCTCCCACATTGGGAGGCAGAGCCACGGAGGCACGATGCTGAAATCCCACCCCTTTTCCCAGCCAGCCCCCTTTCGCTTGCCATTCCAGCTTCCCCCGCGCCGGGTACTTCAATCTGCAGTTTGATGGTCCGAATCATCTGACAAACACTGAGTCAAGCAGTTAAAAATAAATCCTCTAGTTGTTAAAAGAGAAGACTTTGCTGATACCTAAGAAGACAAATTGCTGCCTGTGGTCTCTCTCCCCCTCTCTATAAACACAGCCGCAGGCTGTGGAAATACTTTCTATCAGCCAGACAAGCACATTCATTACTCATTAAGTTCTCCAGCTAAACAAATGGCAGTCTAGGGCATCCGAAGGAAGCGGGTCTTATCTCAGCAGAGGCACCACACTGAATAAACATGCTACCAGCATATCTGGATAAAAACAGAGGCATTTCACTACCAAAGTTCTTTTATGGTGTGCTTTTATGCTGCGTCCGGCCCTCCCTGGCAAAGCCAGCGCTCTTTGTAATAGGGAAATGTACTGTAATTGCAGCTTTCTGCCTTCGCCAATTCAGACCAGAGCAGCAGTTTTCCTTTGAGCCACTAGTCGGCTTTTCAAGAGAGTTAACATCGCCATGATTGTTCTAAGGAAAAATCTCCTCCCACGTATTAAAAGCAGAGACACCGAGAGCTTATATTTCATAACAGATTCAACCAGCGACCAGCCCAAGTTTAATTTCACATGAGTTACCAACAATGGGTACCTCTCCTGCAAGTCACAGACTGCTGCCCACTAGACACAAGGCACGCTGCTCGAAGGAAACGTGTAGGTACGGCGATTGCAGGCAAACGTGGAGATGAGCCTGTTTTCACATACACCAAACATATTCTATCATCTATAGCTGTAACCAAAAGAATCTGATTTTTTTTTTTAATGGTTCAAAGTATGCTCCTTTGCAAAGAGCTCCCATAAAGCTCACTGGAGGTTTTAAGAGCAGTGGAGTGAATCCTCTTCCATGAGAGATCTATTTTGTTCACTTTTTTCTAACCAACATCTAGCAGAGTGCCTGGAATATTAGGAGTTCTCAATAAATACTTGTTGCATGACTGAGTGAATGCATTAAAGCAGAAGATAGTGCGACAGGAAAAAGTCTTTTGATAACACCCAGAGTTCTAAAGAAGTCCTAGATCAATGACCAAGAGTGACTAATTTTAGATGAACAATTTTCTCTTTAAAAGAAAATATACACATACATTTTGAATGTGCATCTGACATGATCCTTCTGTGGGATAAAGAAAGGATTACATTTTTATAGCCAGAAAAATCAATATTCGCTTCAATATTTAAACACAGATGGGAACTAGACAAAGATTCTGTCCTTTGTCCCTGGTTCCAAGGCTGGTGTGCACTAAACCCGTGCTGTGCTAGAAAGATAGCTATCTACCCTTCTCCAGCGTCTCTTGAGAATGGGATTACACAACACATGACATGCTTCCTGTCGACTGGCATTCCTTCTGAAGCAATTTAAGCCCATCGTTGGTAGTCTAGACCTCTGCAGGAACAAGCAGCAACAAGCTTATCACACTTCTCAAAAATGTCCTCAAAAGCTCTGCTACTATTTCTAATCCTAACGCCTTTATCCTTCTAAATTCACTGTTCTGCACCTTTAAAGGAGTAAGAAAATAACCATCATTGTTTTAGGACATTCTTCAGGTCAGTCACTTTATTAGAAGTTTTGTGAAGTTTATCTCAGTTAACCCCCCAACAGCCCTTTATGGTTGCTATGATGATTTGTACATTATAGACATTTCAAGGTGAAGACCAAAGTCACTGAGCGTCTAAGTGGCAGGTCTGGAATTTAACCAGTCTTAGTTCTCCAAAGGCCAAGTCTTTTTCTATTGCATTACAATGCCTGCCGTCTTCTAGAATATGCTCCATTTCCAGGCTTTAGTTTGATCTTGGGACAGGTTTAACAGCAGAGGCCATAAATTTTATAGCCTCCTAGTAATTCTACTCCTAGTGAGGGAGAAGGAAGCCAATATAATCATACTAGGGTTCTTTTATGAAAGCATTAACTTTTCCTGAAATAGTAACAGCAGCAGCCAACTTTAGTGCTCCCAAGGCGCCACAGTCTAAGTGTTTTTCATGTATTATCTCATTTATCCTGTTGACAGACCTGTGAGTTCAACAGTATTATCCCGATTTACAGATGAGAAAACTGAGGCTAGAGAGATCAAATACCTTGTCAGAGGTCACACATAAGCGGTGGCCAGGATTCCAAACAAGCGGCTTGGCTCCAGGGCCTCCATTCTTAATTACTTTGCAAAAAGAACAGCAAAAACAATAAACTCCAACATTCTCTTTTTCAGGAGGTTGTTTTTAAAATCCTGCCCAACTGCTTTTAGGCCACAAGTTTAGAAACTGAGTACGTACACAGCTATACCGGCCACTTTAAAATTCTTTACGGCTTTGTGTGTGTGTGTGTGTTGAGTGGGTTAAAAAATAAAACAATTCTCTTTTAAAGATCCTCTGTAAGCTTATTATTCTTGTATCTGATAAACATCAAAAATCGCAATAAGGAAACACACTGTCCTGCTGTAAGTTTATATAAAAAGTCTTGTCTCTATAGTTTTGAAAGGAAACAATAACTTTAGTGGTGAATATGCCTCAAAGAACATTTATTTTGCTATTTTTAAAAATTTGAAATAATTTCAAATTCACAGAGCTTTTTTTCCCTGAACCATCTGTGAGTAAGCTCTGACATGATACCTCTTTACCCTAAATGCTCTGGTGTGTAATTCCTACAAACAAGGATATAACCCATATAACCACAAAATAGCCATCAACATAAGGAAATTAACAAGGATATACCACTACTGTCTAATCCACAGACTCTATTCAAGTGCCACCAATTCTCCCAACAATACCCTTTATAGCGAAAGGATCCAAACCAGGATCATATATGGCATTGAGTTATCAAGTCTCTTTAGTTTTCTTCCATCTTAAATAGTTCCTCCGTCTTTCCTGACTTTTCTTTCCTTGAATTTTGAAGTTCAGAGGCCGGTTATTTTGTAGTATTACCCTCCATCTGAGTTTGTCTGATGTGGCTCTGTGACTAGATTCAGGTTTTGGCAGGAATACCACAGAAGTAATGATGCATTCTTTGCATCCTGTCAGGTGGTGCACAAATTCAATTTGTCTCATAACTGATGACGTTTATTTTGATTAATTACGACCGTACTGGCTAGGTTTCCTCAATGTAAAGTTAGTTTTCTTCTTTGTAATTAAGTATTTTGTTGGGCTGAATTACTCATTACTATGATGATTGCCAAATGGTGATTTTGAAAATTCTGTCATTCCTTCTCCATTTATTAGTGGCACATCCTACTGTAAGAAAAAGAATTCTCTTTATCTGGTTTATGTTATCAATTTATATCAGCATGGACTCATGGATTCCTATTTTATTCAATGAGTTATAACATGCTCCTATCAGTATGTATTTTGATGCTCAAATTATTCCAGATTTGGCCAGTGGGAGTCCCTTCAAGCTGGCTTCAGTTTCTTATTGTCATGACCCCATCATTCTTTGAGCACTTTCTTGCATTCTGACACAAGATGTTCCAAACTCATCTTTTAGTTTTCCTGCTCTGTTGAGAAACCAAGGTCCGAATGCTAGGTGTACTCATTACTATTAGGGTGTCACTGTTCCCAGGTCTTCTCCATAGACAGAGTTAAGGAATATGCCTGTGAGTTTATACACATACACACACATATTTACGTCTCTCTATATTAATAGATGTAAGTATAGATCTGTATTTAAGTATGTACACATATGTTTATTCATATAAATTGAAAACCATTAGTTCAATTCCAATCCATGCCATAGGTATTCTCATTTTCTCTCTTTTCTGTATTTGTAAACCCCCTTCTCCTACAGTGAGAATCTTGCCTCCTCCCATGGTCTCTGCCACCCCCTCATGGATACCCTGTTCACACATTACTGTCACTGCTGTAGCCAAACCGTAGGCAGACGTCTCCTCCCCCAACACGGGCTCTGAAGCCCTCCTCTGGACTGCTGCCCCCACTTTCAGGGCAGCTGCCTTGCTCAGCCCCACATACTGTCTTTTGGATTGAACTCGGGACGGAGGAGGGAGGAGACCTGCCTTCTCTCCGAGTAAGAGAAGCCCACAGTTGTCACACGAACTGCTTTCCGGTAGGTCTGCCCGTGTCCTTATGGTATATGCCATATCATCTTCAGTGTCATTTGGCTCTATCGTCATGAGTAACATTTAATTTCAAATGATAGGCGATTAAAGTCACTTTGGCTAAGATAAATCTGCTTCCACAGTGTTTGTGTGTACACACACTCAAAAGAGCTGTTTTAGTGTGAAAGAGAGTACCATAAATCAAGTCAGTTTTCCCACTATCCCAAGCGCAGATATTTAATAAGCGTGAGAAAAACTGCATGACTTGGAGACTAGGACCATCCGAGAAAGGCTTCAGGGAATCAGAACAGAAACAAACACGGCTCAAGGGACCTACGCGAAAACTTGGCAGAGTCAATACATGCTTACAAAACTGCTGATAAAAAAGATTATCGTTGTGATGATGCTCTACTTCAAGAAGGAAAAATCTGAGAACATTGCCAGCTGAGCAATGTTTCACCAATGTAAAAACATTCAAAAGTAATGAAGAAAATAATTAGTAACAATGCATGGAGATTGCTAAATATTGAGCCTTCTCTTGTAGAGAAGACAAGAATGCAACTTCTCTTGTAGCATTCTTTTTTTTTTTTTTTTTGAGGAAGATTAGCCCTGAGCTAACTACTGCCAATCCTCCTCTTTTTGCTGAGGAAGACTGGCCCTGAGCTAACATCCATGCCCATCTTCCTCTACTTTATATGTGGGACGCCTACCACAGCATGGCTTTTGCCATGTATGCAACCGGGATCTGAACTGGTGAACCCCGGGCCGCTGAGAAGCAGAATGTGCGCACTGAACCGCTGTATGGGCCGGCCCCTCTTGCAGCATTCTTGACACTATGATTTACAGAAGATTCTCTTGAGAGAAGATATCCTTTTCTTTCCATCTTCCACATCTTGGTACTTTGTAACAGGTCCTCAAGCAGCCTTTCACTGAAGCAATGCAGGTACACTTTGGGGCTTCCCTCACACACTTCCTTCCGAGCCACAGTGTTACAAAATTTACGTAGACATAGTCAATTAGATTGGATGCATTTAGGGAGGAAAACTTCAGTCTAGGTTACACCTAAATTTTTTCCCTAAGGGTAACATATTTTTATTTATTTATTTATTTATTTATTTATTTATTTATTTATTTGAGGAAGATCAGCCCTGAGCTAACATCTGCCGCCAATCCTCCTCTGCCACCAATCCTCCTCTTTTTGCTGAGGAAGACTGGCCCTGAGCTAACATCCATGCCCATCTTCCTCTACTTTATACGTGGGACACCTGCCACAGCATGGCTTGACAAGCAATGCCAATGTCCACACCTGGGATCCGAACCAGTGAACCCTGGGCTGCCGAAGCAGAACATGCGAACTTAACTGGTGTGCCCCTGGGCCGGCCCTAAGTACTATATTTTTAATAAAATAGCTATTTGATCCTTTTCTCCCTTTCAGCATGAAAAAGTCCACTTTAAAAATATTATAGCTTTAGATAATTACTAAATGATTATGGTAAATATGAATAATTTAATAATTATTCAGCCCAATTTAATAATCCTGATAACTTAAAATATGTACATTTTACAAAGGACAATTAAAGAGTGCTATCTCTGAAATCAGACAGTGTATCTTTGAAGTCCTTCATTTTGATCACGTTTTACACACATGGATGTCAGAGGTACAGTACTTGAGATGTAAATAGATTAACAAACTAGTCCGTACAGAAACCACTGTTTCATGAGGAGACATTTTTCCGACATTTCTAAGATAAGATTTTGAAAGAATATCAATGATTTGAGCAATTAAGTATTGTCGCGTCACCGAGCACTAACAACAGGGCAAAACAGCCTAAAGAATTGGTTTGTAATTTGTGCTTCTTACAGTCTTTCAATTTAGAACACCGACAACTGGCACAGAGGGCACCACGCCTTGTGCTGCTGTATCCTCTCTGAAGAGGTGAGCTGCAAGTCTGGCAAGGTTTCTCAGACTGGAACCTTCCCACTGATGGTTTGCTGACTGACCTCTGCTAGCCTGAGAGAAGAGGACTTCGTGTGGGGTGGGGCACATGGCAGGTGAGGCAGAGGGTACGTTTCACAGCTCATTCCCAGTCAGGTCGTCAGGTGATGGCGGCATCACTCAGTTGAAGAGTTCTGACTGTGTAAGTGGTGCCATTTGTCTCCTCCTGCCCAAATCTCTAGTGTGGATAATCAAGAGATGACAGAATACACTTTATCAGCTTTAAAAAAGTCACTCAAGTCCTTTTTCTACTTCTCAGCTTTCCAGTTACTCATAAACAGAAATCCAGACAACTGGCTGGAAGAGTTACAACCGAGAGCTTTCCTTGGATTACACATCTTCAAAGCAGTCTTCCTCGGACTCTGAGTTACGGAATTAAGGGAGAATGAACTGACTGCAGCTGTGAAGCTTTAGTACCGATAGAAGGGAGGAGTGAAAGTCAAGACGTCAGATCCTAGCAAAGACTGGCAGGCACACGTCAGTCATGATTGGCGAGATGTTGAGGTCAGTACCAGCAATGACAAGAAACTGTCCACAATAGTGTCCCTCAACCTTTCTTACATCATTGTCCGGATCTCCCGACCCTTTTCTACATAATTATTTTCCTAATCATGTTCCATGAAATCCTTTTTTTGCTTTTTTTTTTAAAGATTGGCCCTGAGCTAACATCTATTGCCAATCTTCAATTTTTTTTTCCTTCTTCTCCCCAAAACCCCTCAGTATAGAGTTGTATATTCTAGTTGAAGGTCCTTCTAGTTCTGGTATGTGGGATGCCACCTCAGCATGGCCTGACAAGTGGTGCTAGGTCTGTGCCCAGGATTCAAACCAGCAAAACCCTGGGCTGCTGAAGCAGAGCACACGAACTTAACCACTTGGCCACGGGGCTGGCCCCTCTATGAAAGCTTAAGACCACTGATTTACTATTTATCTTTTTATATGCTGTATGTATATCTGTGCCTTATACATAAAAAGAACGAGTTCTTTGCCCAACCCCCAAGCACCAATTTTTGCCCCTGTTAAGAATATTCAATCTACAAGAGGGAAAGCCAATGTTTCCTATTTTATTGAGAAAGAAATAGTAAGATAATAAGAGTGAACAGTATGTAGGAAACCCTCAATGAGAAGATAACAAGTGTTCACCATCTGTGAGAATGAGTTTTAGATCACAAGTAAATTTAGCATATCTTTTGAGAATCTTGAAAAGCTTTTAATCCTTAGCAGCTCTGAGGGATGAGAAACATGTACTGATACTTGTTTTATTTTAAAAAAAAAAAAGAAAAAAAGAAACTGCAGTTCAAATATGAAATGATGTGTTTTCAAATCGCTCTGCTGGTGAACACACATCTTTAATCCCCATTTTCTGTCTCTAACTTTTTTTCACCAAAAGCAAAAGCCTATGGTTTTTTCCTTTTTACTAAATTTATATGTGATTTTCACAGGGAAGTATTAAGAAAAATCAGCAATTTAACTTCAGGGGGATGACAGACAGATTTATGAAGTTAAGAGGCAGGATAGTTTTGTAGAAGGACCATGACTTTTAAGGTTACACAGAATTTGGTTGTCGAGATCTATGGGATCTTGGAAAAATGGCAACATCTTTGTGTAGTGACTGCCTCATCTGTAGAAATGCGACAATAATATTATAAAAATTAGGAAAAAATGCATATGAAACACCCAGCACAGGTATGACAGTCACTCCCCAAATGGTGGAGTCTGTTAGGACTCATTTCTGGAATGATCTCCCCAGTTTGTTATCCTCCATAGCTGCATGTTTGCCAGGTTTGAGGTTTTTCTGGCAAAACACACACACACAGACCAGCACACTAATCACAGCACCACACGCACATGCCACATTTTCCAACCACAGCGGGGTGGAGATAAAATTCACCGTTTTTTGGTCTCGCACTTAATATCTTCTGTGTCTTCCTACTACTTGAGATTTCACTTAACTGGCATAATGAAGTAGAAAAACTGACCCAGGTGACTAATCACGGACAAGTGGTCAGCCAGAGTGTCTGAGAATTGGGTGGAAGAAACATTAGGACATAATCTCAGGAATCTAAGGATGTATTCTTGGATGAATTCTTTATGAAAATTAAAAAATTTATGTTTTCATTTTGTTGATCTTGAAAAAAATCAAGTATTGCCATATGAGAATGAAAAGCAGAGAGAGCTGACATTGTGATCATGACATACTCAAGCCCAGAGAAGGCAAAATCACACACAGCCTGCAGTAGTTTGAAGAGAGAAAAGGGTTGGGAGAAATGAGTTGTCATAGCACGTGGCCGAACAGGCTCTGGGCCTGTGCCAAAGCAGCGAGCGCCACTGTCAGATGTCCAGCAGCAGTCACAGTTATGCAAAAATGCATCATGTCACAGCAAATTAATATTGATTTAAATTTTGTTTTGTTGATTTTTGTAAATAATATGCAAAAGCGTTTCTGTTTTGTAGTTGTGTAAGTGCTACTAAGCACAAGGAGTTTATACTTCATTTACGGTTGTACATATTTCAGCAATATTATACAAGTAAAAATTAAGTCATTTACTATTTTTTTCAAAGGGTCTGTGTAGTTCCTAAGTTTATGAAACACTACCTCACTGTACAAAACAAACGGAGAGGGGGACCCATTTCCTCTGCTGCTTGGCCTTCACAACATTATTGTAAGGTGGGAATTAAATATTTGCTTTTGTTTACCTAATCTGACTGGGCATCTCACTTTGCTATCTTGGGAGTCATGACAAAGGTGGAGATAACACCAAGCATGGCTTGAGAAATTAAGGAGGCCAGACGACTACTCCAATCTATATAAAATCACTTCACGCCCTCACACATGCTCCAAAATGTTTCCTTGATCTCTTATTGACTCTCCTTTGAATCAACTGTGCCACTGTCCCAAAGCACTTCCATTTTCCTTAAGACCACACTCTATTACCACCCTCCTACCTTTTTCAGCAGTTGGGGCCCCTAGATTTACTAATATTGAAGGTCTTCAGACACAAGCTGCACTCCACCTTCCCATTCCCATTCTACTTGCTGTCTTTGAGGAAGAAGTGATCTTTTTTCTCGCCCAGGGGAATCCAGCCACTTTGTTTAGGACTGTAGTCCCCTCCTGCCTACTTACAAGACTGTGGTCAATAATTTATACTTCTCCACTGTGTGGAGGATCCTTTGTACCTGACGAGATATTTGCATTTCCACTTGTACCCCTCTCTTTCCTAACCTCCTAAGATTTTGACTATTTCTAAACACTCTTCCTTATTAATCTCATTCTTTGCACTGGCATCAACCATTAACTCTAAACACCCAACACTGCACACACATTCTACCTCTGGATCACACACTGCTTGCTTTCTAAACAGCAGTTTCTAAATGAGTTTTCCTCTGCAGTTAAGATATCCTTGATTTTAAGATTATATGCTAAACTCAGGTCTAAATCGTCTATAATTTTATAAGATAGGCTTTGTTTGATTTTAATGGGAAAATGAAGATTAAAAAAAAGGCAAGTGAAAGGCTAGCCTAAACCTCCGCTTGGTCTGGCTCCAGACAAGGCACTAAAAACCAATCCGCGCTGTCTTACTTGTCTCTGCAGTCCC